CTTCAGATGTTTTGGCTTTTGCAAGAGACTACTTCTGCAGATAAATTCAGGGCATTAGATAATTTGTGGGCACCCTGTGGTAGCATCTAGTAAGAATCATTCACTGAACAGTACATGCAGGTATAATTGCATTTGGGTTTTATTAATAATATATTTGTGTGTCCACTGTGTGCATCTACAGTGCTAAAGTATGTGTCCATACTGCATATATTAGTATCTGGCTCTAATATCACTCAATGTACAACAAGGTTCGAGCCACATGATCTGAATCAGACATGTAACAGATAAGGTTGTAGTACAATGTTTTACACTAAATATAAGTACACAGAAAGTAAGTACAGTTGAATTGCAAAGCATTCACCATGTTCCTAGAAAGGCATTTTTTTTTAAAGGCACTGCGCTATTTACACAAAAGCAGCAAATACACTCAATTGCTGAAACAAGGATGTTCTTTTTCATGTTTTCATCCGCTCCATTGGTTCTGTCCATGAGGATGTCTTTATTGATCTGGAAGAAAACCAAAATAAGTTATTATCATTGGGTCATTTATGCTCATGGTACTGTCTATTTTTGAATAAAACAATGTATGTTAATGCCAATTCATTTGTGTGTGAACATATTTACATTTGCCATTTAATAATTATGATATTTTAAGTAATGTATCATTAAACCAAGACATTACTGGAAAACAACATGCTGTATAACAATGCACAAAAAGTGTAAAAGCTTTATTTGGTGGATTTGCTCATTGCTGAAACTGGCAAGCAGCACAGCACATTATAAAAGCTTTTAGTATATTCATGTGTATATGTATAAAAGTGTTTTGTACTTGACATTACCTGCAGCCACATTTGAGTAAAGGCTCTCTTCTGGTTCATTACTGGCACCTGTTGGAAGAATTAAAATAATGTATCAAAGGACAATTCCTGTACTTTATTTAGACACTGCTGGCCACTGCAGTAGTATTTCTATTACTCCATGTTAAACACAGATACTGTACCATTTCCAGCTTCTACAGGCCCTCCTATTGTTTCATAGAGACAACGATCACCTACAGAGAAGTGAAAATCAAGCCACATTTTAATCACAATTAAGGCCAAAAGTTAAAATAAATCCTATTATTAAACCGGACAATGGCTGACCATGGAGGAGAGTAGAATATTGTGGCATGTTTTGAATTTCATCCTGGTTGATCATGTGGTCTGTAGCAGGGTCCTGATTGGTGCTCTGAGATCTTGTGGGCCATACACATGAAGATAATGAAGTGGATTGACTTTAACATGTAACTGCTGTAATGTTCAAAATGAGATAAAAGAGGGTTGTACCGACCTGATGAAGACTGAATCTGTTGAAAAAAGGAAAAACCTTTGATTAGTTACATTTTTCTTGAATTGCAAAGGTTTCCGGTACATGTCATGTGTGATTTTGAGTAATTATAGTTTAATTAATTTGATATCAGATGAAAAGGTTCTTACCTTTTGATTTTCTGTAGAGATACAGGAACAGCAGCGGGAGAATTATCAGTAAAACTCCACAAAGCAGCCCAACAGTCAACAGGACGAAATGTGTTTCTCTGCTAAGAGGACAGGACGACTTCCCTGCATCGAGGACAGGATGTACGGGGCCATGTACCGTGACATATTGGCCGATAGCCTCCTTCCCTCAGCCAAGACACTGAAAATGGGTCATGGATGGGTCTTCCAGCAGGACAATAAACCTTAACATACGGCCAAGGCGACACAGGAGTGGCTAAAGAAGAAGCACATTTAGTTGAGGGAATGGCCTAGCCCAGGGGTCTGAAAAGTACTCACAGAATAACCCCAGCGTGCAGAGCAAAGTGTGTCCCATCTTCACATCGAACACTGACTCTCTGTCTCTTACACATACGTCCACTTTAACACTTGAAGAAAATTGAGGAAGACTGACAGAGCACTGTGGGAAGAAATCTGATCTGATGTCAACATGAGCTCATTGGTTATTTACACATTTCCTAAGAATAACTAGTCTCTCTTTCCTTCCTGTTTTATATTGGCATGACTAATTCATGCTCATGCCATGCAGATACATTTTAACTTCACTCTCTACCAAGATCCCACTTTAAAAAGGCAGAGTAAATAGTCATCTTTGCTCAACTCATAATCAAGTAAAAATGGATGGCAGTATTATACTTGTGTTTCACAGGCAGATATATTTAACGCCAACAGTTAGATGGTTCATCGAGACAACTGCAGAATGATTTAACCTCTTTTCGTTCTTTACCTGACGTTTATTGCAATTGTAATTCTGATCATTTATCATGCATTAGTCTAAAAACAGAAGACAAAAGTCAGGTTTTGTTGGTAAAATCCTGTAAACCTCTAATATTAGATGTTTCTTCTGCTTCATCACTAGTAACAAGGCCGATGATTCAAAGTGACATATTTTTGGTCACATCTCAGCTCTTGCACCTCTAAATTATTTCTGTCACCTAAAAGCATGACTGTACTGGATCACCAAAATAAAAGGGATGAAACAAAACAAACACCTTGTGTAAAGAAAAATCATGTAGAAGCAATTAAAGTCAAGTTTATTGATGCAAAACAAAGCTTACTTTTTTTTAAATAAACATAGATTAAAGCCTTACGATGCATTTATTTTACATTTTCCGCTATTACATGAACTGTACAAAATACTCGCTGATAAATGGAGAGCAAAGCTGCAAATAAGGTTTAATAAACAAAGGTTTCGTTTTGGTATGTTGTTTCCATTCGTCTTGTCCTTACAGAAGGCATTGTTTGATCTGACAGAAAACCAAAGAAGAAAAAAGGTTTAATCCTTTAAAGAATTGACATTTACAATATATTTAACAATATATGAAATATATAAAGTGATTAATCCCAATACTTACATGATGTTACGCTGCAATTTTACCAATAGCTGTTCCTGGTTTGAGTTCAGAATAAACAGTTTCATCCGCTGGTGCAGGACTTGACTTCCCTATGAATTAAGAGATTATTATTATTTATTTTTTTACAGTATTCCCCCCCAGTTAAAAATGAAAATGTACTGGTATACATTTTCCTCCCAAGAGGGTAAAGTGATAGTTTGATAGAAGGAATTGCTCATGATGATTCACAACAGTTATACATGTATGGAAACAGATGAATGAAATGTCATATGACCTGATGTTTTTTTCATGAATGCATAGAATTGACAGAAAATAAACTTAACAAACATTGACAAAGTTATGTGTAGGGTTTGAACATTGCTGACTTTGGCGACACCTAGTGGCACATTTAAAAATGACACCCTAGAAGGCACCATAACAAAAAGTTAAAGCAAGTAGTGTTTCTTCATACCTGCAGCTGATGCCATCTGCACATGTGAGTAAACACAATCCTCCGGTTCATTTTTCTTCCCTGTTAGACGGATCAGGAGAAAGCATGAAAAGACAACACTTATTGCATGTTTTTGTTACAACATAAATTCAAACACTCACCCTTCTTAGAAATGTTTTTGAGCTCGACCACAGAATATGTCACATCCGTGGATTCATCTGAAATATACAATTTATTTTATATTTAAAAGAGTGAACCTTGAATTGTCATATTCCAGTATTTATATTTACTATACTGTACCATTTGCAGGTTCTTCAGGGTCTTTGACTGATTCATAGACACAGGCATTATCTGAAGAGAAATCAAAATCAAACCCAATTCATATTAAAATCCCTCTATATGAACTCCTACATTTTTAAAAACAACCAATGAGAAATGGAAATGCTACGCGGATGCTACGTTCACAAAAAATTAAAAATGTATTAAGGATTTAGGCTGACCCTGAAGAACGGAAGCATATTCCCTTTGGTTAGTTTCGTCCTGGTTGATCATGTGGTCTGTAGCAGGGCTCTGATTGGTCCTCTGAGATCTGGTAGGCAAAACACATGTAGTAAATGAAGTGGATTTATAAAGGAACATATCACTGCTGTCATGTTCATAATAAAATAAAATAGAGCGTTGTACCAACCTGATACAGCATGAATCTGTTAAAAAAAAGAAGACATTTGCTGCTATGTTATTATGTTTTGCAAAGTGTCCTACTGTCAAAACAGTACGTGTGGTTACATTAGAGTCAATCTGATATCAGAAGAAAATGATCTCACCTTTTGACTTTCTGTATAAATACAGGAACAGCAGCAGGAGAATAATCAGTACAACTCCACCAAGCAGCCCAACGATCAGAAGAATGGGAAATTGAGAGGCTTTTCCAGGCCCGGACGCTGCTATTATAAGTAATCTTTATTAATATTTATTTTATATTAAACGTTCCTGTTATAGATTAACTGTATAAAACATCTCTCTTAAACAAACACAGTTTAATTCAGATGAAACTAAGCTTTCTTTATCTCAGACTGTAACACAGCTTACAAAAAAGGAAGGGTTTTTAAATGATACTTACATTTGACTGAGAACCAACTCTCTGGTGACGTCCTACCATCTGCTGAATCTCTCTGTTTACATTTATAAAAGCCTTCGTCTGACTTTGACACTGCAGAGATGGTCAGCTCCTTCCTGGTCTCGTTCTGGATGAGTTTGTCATCTTTATAGAAATCCACATTATAAAGAACAGTTCTTGTCTTGAACTTGCAGCTAAGAGTGACAGAACGTCCCTCAGCCACAGGACGGACAGGACTCACCAGGATCATTTCATAATCTGAAAATAAATCAAAGAATATAAAGGCTTTGACAGAGTCATCAGCTTTTGCAGATTTAATATGTTTATGCACAACTGGCCTAGTCTGGCAGAAGCTGAAATGTCAGGTAGATGTATGAGGACATTAAAACACAGAATATTATCTTTGATCTTTGAGAGAAGTAACCCTGGAAATCACTTTGCAAATTAGCCTTTTTTAGGAAGTTTTACTAATTTGAAGAGACGTTTGGCTAATGCTTGTTGTCACCTTCACATTTCAAAACAACATAATACTTCAGAAACAAACATTTTAAATAATTAAAACTCACCATATTTAGTGATGTTGACTGCATTACTGAACTGTCCTGTTTCAGACTCACACCAGAACACTCCACTAGCCCAGCTGCTGGTTATTGTGCATGTGGATCCAGTCATTGTCCCCCAGGAAGAACAGGGAAGAAGGTAGTCAGGTTTAGAAAACGTCATCACTCTCCACTCAGTGGAGTTTCCCTCACAGCTCAGTGACACAGACGTTTTGGTGAAGTGCTGCACACTGTCAGGACTCACTCTGAGAGACGCTGCTGAATTCAATTCTGAAACACACAAAGAGTGGACATTTAAACCATGCAGACTGAAAAAGACAATGCATTGGTATGGCAACACTGCCACTTAATTGACCCTGAAAAAACAAACGGGAACAAACTAAAGTAGGAGGAAAACAAAAGTGAAAGTACCAGTGCCTCAATCTCACACTACAAATGTGTTTAATTATATGTATTGTTTATGTCTTAAACTATTTAACCAGCAGATAAATATCTTAAAACATATTCCTCACTAAAAAAATAAATAAAACACTTACCACTTATATCTAATGTATTGTAGAAGCCTTATATTATTAGGTTTTGGATTTACAAAGTCTAAGGTTTGAACCATGGCGAACAACAACTCATGTGTCAGGATGAAAAGAGATTATTTTGTGTTCAAATTCAGTCAAGTCCAGAAGATGAATCAGTCAATCATCATTCTGTTTTAGAGAAAGGTTTTGAAAACTGAACTATGACCTGATGCTGGTGTAAAAGAAAAGTTCCCAAAATAAGTGACTTTGTTCCATTTTGCAATAATGGAAAAGTCAAAACAAACCTCAAGACCAGGCAAACTTTGATAAAGACATTTGTTGGCCTAATGGTGGTACAAACTACAGAAAGAAAGAAAAAGGAAGAACATACTGACCTCCAGACCAGACAAACGTAGGTTCACTCTGCCAACTGTAATACACTGGATCTCCTCTTCCTGCTTTGCACACATATCCTGCTGTGTGTGTTTGTCCATCAATGATGAAGAGATCCTGTTTAGTCCCATTCTCGCTGCCAGGTAGCAGCTCATAGCCGTAGGAGTACGACAGTTTGGGAAAAGCCTTATACCAGTAGAAGCTCCAGCCAGCAGAAGGATGATCAACCCTGCAGTTCAGAGTTACTGAGGCTCCAGGACTCGGCCATGATGGAGACACAGTGAGGACAGGCTTAGGTCTGTCTGTTGGAAAACAACATTTCACAGAATGATAACATTATGATGTATAATTGGTGGGTTACATGCACTCCTTGGATCCTACATATTTTCTGCATACAGTATGTAAAAAACTAATTTAAGTGTGAACTGTACTTAAATATAATAACCAAAATACTATTTGTATATACAGTAAACAAAAGTTAACTGATAATAAATGACTTACTCTCAGAAACTGTCAATGTGAAAACAATCCATTTGTCTGGTAATAAAGTATAACAAGGTTTGTTGGTGAAGTATTATCTTTATGTAAATGCTTTGATGTAAGAAACTGATCCCTGTCTTCTTATTCTTATTTTAATACTCATTATTTTGTGATAACGAAAAGCACAGGATTGTACAGTATACTTCACCAGCCTACAGTATACAGCGTCAGTGGAGCTGTTCAAACGTTAAAACATTACAATAATGTACAGATTATATATTAGAACTTGTCCAAACTGCGTGTTCACATCAACATGGCTCATAAATAAATAACAAATGTTTTTATTGAACTTGGTCATGGTGGTATTACTTTGATCACTTACCTGATACAGTTAGATAGATTTTATTGCTTTCCTTTACAAGATACAAAAAGTAAAATGTGTTTTCTTTTTGTCAAAAACAGTATTATACATTGACCAAACGGATGCTGTTTGGAGAGTTACATCGGTAGATTTGTCTAGAATGAGTAAACAAAAAGTATGAAAATTGTATAATTACCTTGAGCTTGTCCACGGTAAAGTAAATTCAGAACTGAAATAAGTATGAAACTAAATCAGACATTATCAAACTGACAGAAATATATATTAACCTCAGGCATTAAAAACGTTTTATCAATGGCAATTAAAACAGGAAAAGTACTCACAGAATGTGTCCCATCTTCACATCCAACACTGATAATCTGCTTCTGAGAAATTCTTCTACTTTGTGCAAATAGAAAGACTGAAACTGCAGCATATGAAGAGCAATCAGGAACTACAGAGAAACAAATGCAATGTAATATTGCAAACGGAAGTTGTTTTTTTAACTTCTTTACACGGTCAGGGCTTCCTTCCCTTTTACACAAAGCTCACACAACTGAGCAGCTTTTAACACAGCACATTTGGTTTAGGTGTCCTCTAATGATGAACAGAGAAAAGGTGTTAACATATCCTTCCTGATGTAGATAAGATCATCCTGTGGGCTCGTGATTCTTCACAGATAATTCTCTAAAGGCTGCTGCATAAAGTCTTTCTAGAAAAAATAAAGTGCATACAGTTTTAAGAAGGAGATACAATTGCAGGCGTCATTCTCACTTTATAATCCATGGGCCTTCTCACCAATATTTCATATGAAAATGTCTGTAACAGCTTTAACCAAATAGTTGAAACGCAGTGATGGAGTGTTATGGAGGAATTCAAGTTTAAGTTTAGAAACAACCTCACCCACAGGAAGTCTCTCATAGTGTCTTGACCAGAAGTGAACGTGAAGAGAGACAAAGTCCAGCCCCCTCCTCGAGATAGACTCTATCTAGTTTAAGGGAGCAACATTTCATATCTATATCATTAGTAATAAAGCAATCATTTGAATACAGAAAATGTTTTTTCTAGGTGCAACATTTGATCCATAGTCGAACAAAGATTATGTTAATTCCATAAAAATGGTCGAAATAAAAATACCACAACACTTCAGTAGCTGTGTAGTTTTAAATGTGGTGAGTAGTCAACATTGAAAGCTTCCACTTCCATGCATCAGTGCTAAGCTAAGGAAGTGAACCGTAAGCAGTCAATTGTTTAGTTATTAGTTAGGAGTTACATGACATCAGACCCTGCTGCCAGACTTCAGAAGGACTATTTGTGTACAGTAGGTCAAGTATCAGATACAGTAGTTTGACACCACCTTGTGGTCATATATCAAAATAAATCTTCTATTATAACTGCACAGTGACTGGAGAAAAAGTAAAATAAATATCTTCAGTAAAACATACTTACATAAATTGGACAAACTAATGTTTGCGGTAGTGCGTCAGTAAATTCCCTTCTTCCATCTCTCCACATACAGCATATTGTTTGTATACATTTACACGCACTTTGAGGGGAAATTAAGGGATTTATGGATACAGCACTCAACACTCATGAAACAGAACTGTATATATTTAAATAATCTAAAATCCTTGATCACAAACAATAACAAATAATTTAAACTTGTTTATTTTATTAACACCTCAGTCCCTCCTCTCTCCTATCTTTATCTTATCTTATGTTACCTAGTTAGCATTCTTTCTTTTATTTATGCATATTTGACTAATCACTCCATTTTAAACTGTATTTTTAATTTTTTACTGTCCTATAGTACACACTGGAATGATTTCCTACCTTATTGTTTACAACTATATTAAATAAAGGTGTGCATTGGAAATATGTACATAAATGGTGACCTAACCGTTTGAGACCCACTGAGATAACTTAGTCTAAAGTTAACTATCTAAACCAGGGGTCGGCAACCCCTGGCACGCGGCACCGTAACCAGTGGCACACTAGGAATAAGTGGAATAAATAAGTGGAACAAATATTTAAATTTTATTTTCGGATCCTGAACGAGACCGCTCCCCGTTACCTGCAGAAGGAAGCCATGCACGCAACACAGCCCCGCTCTCTTTAACATATGCTACACAGGCGCGGACTGGCCATCTGTGTGTTCTGGAGAAACACAGAACGGACGGTCATCATTATTATTATGGCGTTTAAACAATTATTTAAATTTGTTTAAACGGCATCATGTAAGTTGCGCTGACAGGTGAAAGAGGTCCACAAACTGCTTCCCCGCCCTCCTGTTGACAGTTCACAAGCGTCGCGCTCTTCACCCCCCCGTTGACAATTCAAGATCGTCGGCACACTGATCAGAATTTTTCTTTTAATGGCACTTCATATGAATAAGGTTGCCGACCCCTGATCTAAACCCTCAGAGAGTCCTTTACCTCACGGAGCTGTAGTTATCAGCCTCTCAGTCTGACAGGCGAGAGCTCTCCCTCTCCTTGTTGTAGAAACAGCTTCTAATGTCCGTTAGCTCTGAGCTAGCACCAGCTGCTAACAACAAAAATCCCCGTAACTGGTGCGCTCTCTCTCTTTCTAGCTCGCTCTCACTCAGTCAAAAGTCACTAGTGCCAAACACACACACACACACACACACACACACACACACACACACACACACACACACACACACACACACACACACACACACACACACACACACACACACACACACACACACACACACACACACACACACACACACACACAGCAAGTGTGCAGGTGTGCGTCATATGAGAGGCCCCACCTTACATTTTCGGTCACAGATTTGGGGAAATTGGTCCGTGCGCAAAGCATTGTGGGGATTTTAAGACCGCAGAGTCTACTCATGTGCAGCCTCGATATTTCTCCAAACGGAGTACGCCGGGCTCGGTAGATTTCCAAGTATCCTGGAGATTGGAACAGTACTTCGGCGGCACTCGATGACGTAGTATGCTTGAAATAGTGGCTCTGGAACAGCTTTACTCGCGATTGAGAAACACCCCCTGTGTGTGTCCTTCTCCTCCGTGACGATAACGGCTTGAGGTTAAAAAATAATAATAAACGAATTTGAAACTGGGGGGGGGACACACAAACGGGCAGACAGCAGAGCTCGGGGCAATAATGCAGATTTGTTTGACTTTTTTACACTTTGTTGTTGTCCTCCTTTCCTCCGCTCTTGTCTCTGATTGTGATTGTGTGCATTCGTGTGTGTGTGTGTGTCCGCCAAGACAATGGTAGGGGAAACACTGCACACACACACACACACACACACACACACACACACACACACACACACACACACACACACACACACACACACACACACACACACACACACACACACACACTGAAGGAAAAAGATATGATTCTACACTGTATTGAAGTAAACATGTATTGTTTGAACGGGTTTTGATAATCACTTAGAAAAAGAATGTTATTCTCACTTTTAAACTCACTGATCCAGAGATTCTGTGTTTCACACACCAACATTGGCT